CCACACACGCTGGCTCCTGGGGCCACAGCACTGACCTTGACGGAGGTGGCCCCGTCCTCCACAGCTGTCGCCCAGCAAGGAAGACGGACAGTACGTAAACAGACCCCAGGGACAAGAGCACTCGGACTCTTAGTGCCACCCAGAGAGAGGAAAGGGACCAATCCAGAGAAGACTAAGGCAGGGTGAGGAGCAGAGTGACGCTGGGGTGGTCACAGAAGGACTCCTGGAGCAAGGCCGCTGGGTGGACTCCCAGGAGACCCAAGGGAGCCACCCCTGAGAACACCCAGAAGAGAGACGCTCCCAGGACTGCATGTGCAAAGGCCCTGGGGCAGAGTGTGCTGAGTGGCTGAGGATCAGCAGAGAAGGTCGAAGATCAGGGTAGAGTGAGGGCAGGGCAGTGGGGGAGGACATGAGGGTGGAGCAGGTGTCCCCAGGGGGAGTGACAGCTGCCACTCTGGCTCCCTGAAGCAGGTGGTTCTGTGCTGATACATGGACAAGCCCCTTCCATTTTCGGCCTCACCTAAAGCCCCCGGGATTGTCCCCAAGCTCACCCAAGCCCTACAGCCCGGCCACAGGGGCCTCGAAGGGACAGAAGGACAGGAAGCCCCCAGTCACTGGCCTGCTCCAGAGGGACCCAGAGCCGAGCCCCGTCACTCCTACAATGACCGGCGGGTCCCCCAACCTGCTCCAGCCCCACTGGTCCCAAGGGTCCCTTTGTCCCCAGAAGCTTCCTGGTATGGAGACTGGCACCCGGCCACCATTTGGGGAATGAGGACCGCGCCCTCGGTGGCCGTTCGGGGCCCAGACCCAGGCTCCTGCTTCCTGCCCTCTGTCCCCACCAGTGTCCCCGTGAAAGTGCCCACTGTGTGGTCTGAGCCGCGTCCCACCCCAGCCTCCCACCAAAGTCCCCACCCAGGGCATCAGGAGCCCCGTCCCCAGCCCTGTTTGGGACTCTGTCTAGAGTCAGGGTCTCCCTGAGCTGCTCAGGGCCTCGCTGTTCCTGAGGCTGGCCTCCACCTTGCCATCCTCCTGCCTCGGCCTCCCGAGCCCTGGGCTCACAGGTGTGCACCACCAAGCCCGGCTGGACCTCTGAGCTGGCCGTGGGGGACAAGTGCCTTCCCCTTCGTTCCTCTGTGGGACACACGAGGGTGAGCGTTTCCACACAAAGGAGGCCTCCCCGGCGGCTTTGCTCAGACAGCACTGGCCGATGGCACTGGGCTCCCCGTCCCTGCATGGACACCCGCCGCCTGATTTCTCCCAGCCCCAGGTCTAGACCCCCAGAGCCACCCTGGGGCAGCCGTGGGCGCAACCAGGAACCCTGCCTTCACCAACGAACGGCGGGAGGGCGACATTTTCATCCTGTCCTGTGGGTCCCCAGAGAATCCTGACCAAGTCCTGGGCATGCAAATAGCATGCAAATGACATGCAAATAGCATGCAAATGACATGCAAATAGCATGCAAATGACATGCAGATGAGCCCTCCTGAGCAGGAAGCCCTCCCTTTAGAGTCCTTTCAGCTACAAGGGAAGGAGGCCTGTGAGCGGCTGCAGCTGTTGCCATGGAAACGGCCTCCCAGGGGCCTAAGGAGGCTCCAGACAGCTGGGGGGGTACAGTGCTGACCCCCACCCTGAGATGATTTGGGGGGAGGTACCAGGGATTGAACCCAGGGGCCCTCGACCCCTGAGCCACATCCCAGCCCTATTTTGTATTTTACTCAGGGACGGGGTCTCGCTGAGCTG